GGGTTTTCAAAGCCTGACACTGTGCCAGCATGGATGTACGGGCAGCTGTCACTGGATCACGGTGATGCTGAAGAAAACTTAAAAACATGAAGATTCTCAGGAAGTTCAGCAGCGTCTCTCTGGTTTCTGAGCTGATCTCCCCCCCTGGAGCGGCACCACTCCATAAACCTCTCACCAAATCTGACTAAACCGACATTGTTAACTGTAAAATCTATATAAACTGGTAGAAACACAGAACCAGCATGAACACTACGTATCTGTTTCAGCGTCTCACCCCGAGGACCAGTGGTTGCGGCTTCAGGAAGACGGCCTTCATGGCGATGTTTGCTGGGGAGGTGGGCGGGCCAGTGGGCGTAGACAGCAGTCTGGAGCGGGATGGCGTTTTCATTCTGAGTCACGGCCCCTAATCCTTCGGCTGCGGTGATGGACGTCATGAAGAGAGAGGTCAGAGGTCGTTTAGGATCTCTGTGTGATCAGTGAGGAACCACCTCCGCCTCATTAGAGCAGAAAAAAAAACTGACTGTGACCAAACAAGGGAGCCAGAGGGCACATCTAGAAAAATATGTGATAAATATTACAGATATTTATGGTTTTCACAGCTTTTCTGTGGTGAGAAAGAAGCAAAATGTTGCTCTGTTTGCTTTAAAGATAAAGTCTCTGGAGTTAACGTATTTATTGATTTGATGGAAAAAGTAATTGTCTTTATCATGTAGAAATAAACTGAATTGATATATTTGAAAGAAAGTGGACAGCTTTGCATCCAGTGTTAATTAATGTCAGCAAACAACTATTTGATATGAGAAGCCTGTTGCTGCTGAGTCCACACGTTTCTCCCGTTTATATCTTTCACAAATAACAAAAGGTGGTTGTTGTTTTACTTTTGAATATTAAACAGCACCAAACATACAGTCCAAGTCTCTTAACTGTCATCACATGTGAGTTCACAAACTTCAAAAAAAGCTGCATCACCAGAGTATAGATTTGGCTGATTTGGCTCTTTAATCCACACGTG